TCATTGACAGTAAATTTGTTTTTTTAATACTAGAACAAATTAAATTTTTTTCTCATAGTGTTGTAATGTGTTGTGCCATCTCTTAGTCTATACAACAAATTGAACAACAAATGAATTCTATGTTTTTCTACTTCTAAATTATTAACGTTTCTAGCTGAAAACACAAGAAAGGTACAGATTTCTATTCACACTTCCTATTATTATTAAAAAATTACTACAGAACATTTCATAAGGCTGAAGGAGCGACTCCTTAAACAAGCCTGGTTTAAGGCCTTAAAGTCCGATTTATGTCAACTTTAGATTTGAATAATCATGGCACGCTAAGCAATAGTGTAGGCCTAATTCCATCTGTTAGTACCTTAAAAAAATACACCCTATATGCAAGAGCTAAACATTGGGTACTCATGGACATAAAGATGTCCTCAGTAGATACTGGGGACCCCTATGGGTGAGGGAAGGGAGCAAAGGTTGAAAAACTAACCATTGGGTACTATGCTCTCTACCTGGGTGATGGGATCAGTCATACCCAGATCCTCAGCAACATGCAACAAACCCACGTCACAAATGTACGTATGTATCTTTGAATCTGAAATAAAACTTGAAATGATAAAATAGCAATTATGTGTAATACTATTTTAGGTATGTTACAAAAGTAGCCAACTTTTATTGAAAGCTTAAAACATATTAAAATGTATTATAAATGCTTTATATAAATAATGTAATCCTATGACAACCCTATTAGTGTCATTCTGCAGAGGAGGAAACTAAAGTGTATAGACATGAACAGTTTGTTCACATAGACTTTGATCTGTATGGTTGCAAAATCCTTTCTTTTAGTTATAAAGATTACATTCCTTTGTAAAGTATGTGAGATATTTAAGAGTGTACGAGAATCCAGTGTGTAGAGGAATAGTACTTCTAATACGTGTAAGAGCCTGTAAGGGGTGGAGGAAAAAGGTAAGCATATAAGTGTGACGGAGAATGGACAGTCACTGTAAGCATTCCGGCAAAGCTTTAAAAGACAAGGTTCTGGCTGGGGATGGTGGCTCATGCTTATAATCCCAGCACTTCAGGAGGTCGAGGCAGGAGGATTACTTGAGGCCAGGAGTCTGAGACCAGCCTGGCCAACATGGTAAAACCCTATCTTTACTAAAAATGCAAAAATTAGCTGGGCATGGTGGCACATACCTGTAGTCCCAGCTATTCAGGAGGCTGAGGCATGAGAATCACTTGAACCCCAGCAGTGGAGGTTGCAGTGGGCCAAGATTGTACCACTGCACTCCAGCCTGGGTGACAGAGTGAGACCCTGTTTCAAAAAAAAAAAAAAAAAAGTTCTTATCACGGGTTATCTGTATCTTAATCACTTGACCCTAATTTAGAAACTAGAGAGATATTCAGTCTTTTCTCTACTTGTTACAGCACTTTGAACTATACCAGGCACTTTAACATTTCATTATAATTGGTCTTGTGTTGTTTATAGTTATCCTTAAGGATAAGAGCCAATTTGACATTAAAATATGTAGACCAGAACACTTAATATAGTACTGAGCATTACTTATAACTAAATGATTTCAGAAAGGATGCAAGGCTACAGAACTGAGCAACAGTAAGAAATCCAGTCAGGCAAAATTTGGGAGCTGGATGAGGCAAGCTGTTAGAATGGACAATGAAGTAGTGTTTCTAAATGATAGAAATATTAATGTACACTTGACAGGATATAACTATTACAGTACACTAGGATAGCTGTAAGAAATGACAAATAGAAATCTTGATTTAGTGGACCAAACTTTTGTCCTCAGATTTTTTTTTTTTTTTTTTACAATTGAGGTGAAATGGACATAATTGAAAAATAACCATTTTAAAGTGTATAGTTAAATGACATTTATTCATGATGTTGCATAATCACCACCTCTACCTAAATATTTTTATTGCCTGAAAAGAAAGCCCCATACCTGTAGGCAGTCACTCCCTATTTCTCTCATGCCCAGCCCTTGGCAAATACTTTTTTTTTTTTTTTATCTCTATGGATTTCTTATTCTGTATATTTCATGTATACGAAATCATGCAATTATGTGATTTTTTTGGATTTTTTTTCACTTAGCATAATGTTTTGGAGGTTTATCCATGTATCAGTACTTCATTAGTATTAGTAGCATGTCTTAGTACTTCATTCCTTTTATGGAATAAAGTAATATGTATATGTACCACATTATGTTTATCCATTCATCAGGTGATGGACATTGGGACTGTTTCCAACTTTTAGCTATAGTGAATAGTGCAGCTATGGACATTAATGCACAAGTATTTGAGTATCTGTTTTCAATTCTCTTGCATATACACCTAGGAGTGGAATTGTGGGTAATATGGTGAGTCTATGATAAGCTATTTGAGAAACTGCCAAACTGTTTTCCACAGCAGTTACACCGCTTTACAGTCTCGCCAACAGTGCACAGAGGTTCAGATTTCTCCATTACTTGTTTTTCTTATTTTTTTTATGTTAACCGTCTTAATGTGTTTGAAGTGGCATCATATTGTCCTGATTTGCATCTCCCTAATAACTGATCTTATGTACTTTTTGGCCATTTGTATATCTTCTCTGGAGAACTGTTTATTCAAAGTCCTTCGGTTACCTTTTTTTAGACTGCATTGTCTTTTTGTTGTTAAGAGTTCTCTATATATTCTTTACACTAGACCCTTACAGAATATATGATTTATAAATATTTTCTCCCTTTCTATATGTTGTATTTTCACTTTCTTGATAATATCTTTTCTGTACAAAATTTTAAATTTTGATGAAGTCTAATTTATGTTTTCTTTTGTAGCTCCTTATTTTGGTATCATAGCTAAGAAACCATTGCCAAACTGAAGGTCAGTATCCCTATGTTTTCTTTTAAGAGTACTGTTGTGTCAGCTTTTATATCTAGGTTTGATACATTTTTTTTTTTTTTTTTTTGAGACAGAATCTTGCTCTGTTGCCTAGGCTGGAGTGCAATGGTGTGATCTTGGCTCACTGCAACCCCCGCCTCCCAAGTTCAAGCAATTCTCCTGCCTCAGCTTCCTGAGTAGCTGGGATTACAGGCACCTGCCACCATGCTCAGTTAATTTTTGTATTTTTAGAAGAGATGGGGTTTCACCATGTTGGTCAGGCTGGTTTCGAACTCCTGACCTCAGGTGATCCACCCACCTCAGCCTTCCAAAGCGCTGGGATTATAGGCATGAGCCATTGCACCCTGCCGGTTTGATGCATTTTTACTTAATTTTTATATATGGTATGAGGTAGAGTAAGAAAAAACAAACTTTTTCCTTCTGTACTCTCAATACTCAGACACCAGAAGTTTAGGTTGTTTTCCCCAAGACCAAGCAATTTCCCAATTCTCTGCAGACACCAACTGGGTATTCTACAGTTCAATTTTGACACTAACCAGAGTAAATGCAGATCCTACAGGTTAAAGGCTCAGTCCCATGAAACTGCCCCCCATTTCAGACATCAGTCACAAATAGTAGGTCCCCAGGTTACAGTTCCCATAGTAATTTGCTAGAATGGCTCACAGAACTCAGAGAAACACTTAACGTTTATCTCTTTTAAAAAGGATACAACTCAGGAATAGCCAAATTGAAGAGCTTCACGGGGCAAGGTATGGAGGAAGGGTAGTGGAGCTTCCATGATCTTGGGGTACCTGCACATTTTCAGCAACCTAGAAAGCTGTCTAACCCCCATCCTTTTGGGTTTTTATTGGAGTGAGGGGCTTCATTATGAAGGCATGATTGGTTAAATCACTGGCTACTGGTGATCAACTTAACCTTCAGATGTCCTGCTCCTTGGAGGTCTCTAATTACTTGGTTGGCTCCTCCTGGCAACGACCCCCGACCCTCGCCATCCAGATCCCCCAGCCATTAGTCATTTCATTAGCATACAAAGACACGACTTGAGGACTTGGGATGTTCCAAGGGTTTTAGGACCTACGTACCAGGAAACTGGTACAAGACCAAAATGTGTATTTCTGCTTCTATCACAATATCACAGAGTTTCAACTTTTTTTAATGTGTATATTCAGTTATTCCAGCATCATTCGTTGAAAGTTAGTTGGCCATAGAACATGGGTTTATTTCTGAAACCTTAATACTATTCTAGTAATCTGTATGTTAGTATGATCTGTACTTATGCCAATAGCCCATTGTTTAGATCACTGTAGCTTTATAGTAAGTGTTGAAACTGGGAAGTGTCAGTCCTCCAAATTTGGCCTTTTCCATATTGTTTTGGATATTCAGGGCATTTCTAAATCCTGTATGAGTTTGATGGTCAGCTTTTCCATTTTTGCAAAAAGGCTGATGGAATTCTGATAAGAGCTTTCAGTGAATCTGTAGACTGCTTTGGGTAGTACTGCCATCTTAATAATATAGTCTTTCAATATTTGAACACAGGATTGTGGCAGGTCGGGTCTCACTAATGCAGGCCTCCATAACAACTGTTTACTGACTGAGGGGTTAAGTTAAATATTAAAAGCCAGGCCCCTTATACAAAGGCTGGGATATACAAAAGCCCATCAATAGTTTTGCCTAGGCCTTTCCTGGGCCTTAAAGCATGACAAAATAATGAAGGAATTCTTAACAAGGCCCATATTGGATTAAACAAGTTTTACTGTGGGTTTGAAGGAACTCCCCAGGTCTCCACAAACAAGTTTATTGGGGTGTCTGAAGGAACTCCCCAAACCTCCATGATTAGCAGGAGACAAGGGTAATCACCCTAGCACCTGGACCCATTTAGATTAAGGAAATTTACTGAGGTTCCAGAGGAAGATCTTCAGGACTCAGAACTTATTTATAGATTAAAAGAAGTTAATCACTTATGTCCTTAGATGAATGCACACTTAAACATAGACATACAGCTTAGAAGGTATATAAGCTCTGGAAAACTTTGTAATTTTCAGTTGGTCTGGCAATAATTTCCAGGCCTTCTCCCTGTAATCAGTTGCAGAAATAAAAACTCTCTTCCTCCCCAGGTCATTTGCATCTCGTTATTGGGCCACGAGAAACAGCATCCTGACCCTCAGTTTAGTCTGGGAACAAGATTTGGTGCACCAGCCAGGAGTGACCAGGATGGTGCTACATGCAGCAGCCAGCAGCTTGTGAGGAGACAGTCTTCAGGAGGATCCCAACAGCTGCTGGTGAGATTTTCCTGGGGACCCTCTTTAAGGCTGTCCTGGGTTCAAAAGTGCATGTCCCTTTCACTGTTGGGGAAGAACGGCAATCAGGAGTGGACATGCTTAAAGGGTGAGTTAACCGAATCTTATGCCAGGAGCCTGCTATTTTCCTATCTGGGCTTGTTAAGCCATTTGTCCGGTACTGCCAAGGGAAGCAATAAGGCTTGGTAATACAATTGCTTTACATTTCGTTTGAGATAAGGTTTTGAGTCTGTTTTCCCTGACTCAAAACACTCCCCCTTATGTTGTCCAAAATTTGTCTCCACTTCTTGTGTATCTGTCTTACTCCTTTTGATACCATGTAAACTAGAAAATGGGAGGTACTGGGTCCATTCCTGCTGACAGGCCTCTGGGAAGGAAAAGATAGTTTTTAGGAGCTCAATGGTTAAAATTCAGCTTAATTAAAAGCTAACATCCGAGATATGTATATGTATGTGTGCATGTTTATACTTAAAAGGCATTCATGTTTTTATTTCTCTCCTAGGACCTTTTCTTTTTGAGCAAAAGTTTTTTCTTCTCGATTAATTGAATTCTGCTTTCTTCATTAATAGCTATTGCCTACAGAAGCTACTGTGGTTTTTTAAGAAAAAGTGTAAATTAGACACTTAGAAATGTCTTGTGTGGAAAAAAATTTTTTAAGTGCACTGTATAAAGCATCACATGGTCTAGCCTCAGAATAATTCTCCCTTTTTGAAAAGCTCTTCCTTTATAAATTACTCAGGTATTTCTTCATAGCAGTGTGAGAATGGACTAATACATGTCTTTCTAGGATTTTACCTAGTTTATTGGTATGCAGTTTTTCTTTATCTATGTAAGGTTACTAATAATGTCCCCACTTTCATTTCTGATTTTAGTTTTATGTGTTTTATTTTTCTTAGTCAGTATGGCTATCAATTTGTCAATTTGGTCTTTCTTTGTAAAGAACTAACTTTTGACTTCTTTGATATCTCTCGTTTTTCTGTTCTCTATTTTGTTTGTCTGCACTCTAATCTTAATTTCCTTCCTTCTGCTCACATTGGGTTGTTTGTTCTTTTTCTGTTTCCTTAAGGTGTTATGTTAGATTGCTCATTTGAGATCTTTTATTTTTTAAATTTAGCTCTCTTATCTTTATTATTGTTATTGACACTCTTAAACCAACAGTTGCAGAAGTGTGTCTCTAGTTTGTGGTTACAGTAGTATATATACATTTAAACAATTTTTTTTAGTTTTTTTAATTGTGGCAACATACATGTAAAATTTACCATTTTGATTGTTTTTTAAATGTACAATGCAGTAGCATTATGTAGACTGACACTACATGGTTGTACATGGTTGTACAACCATGATCACTGTTTATCTCCAGAACTGTTTTGTCATCCCAATCTGTAATTCTATACCAACCAAATAAAAACTCCCCATTCTATACTCTCTCCAGTCCCTGATAACCACTATTCTGCTTTCTGAGTCTACAAATTTGACTCTTCTAGGAATTCATATAAATGGAATCATTTGATGTTTGACTTTTTGTGTCTGACTTATTTCACTTAGTGTAATATTCTAAAGGTTCATCTACATTGTAGCATCAAATTTCATTGCTTTTTAAGACCGAATAGTATTTATTTACATGTATATACCACATTTCATTAATCTATTCATCCATCAATGGACACTGGGTTATAACCACTTCTTGGCTATTGTGAATAATGCAGTTGTGAACACTGTTGTACAAATCTCTATTCCAGTTTTTGCTTTCAGTTCTTTTGGGAATCTACCTAGAAACAGAAATGTTAGGCCATATGGTAACTGTACGGGGGGGGCGGTGTCTGAAGGAACTCCCTAAACCTCTGTGATTTAGCAGGAGATAAAGGTAATCGTCCTAGCACCTGGTCCCATTTAGATTAAGGAAATTAAATTAATTTTTTGAGGATCTGCCACACTGTTTTCAACATTTTACATTCCCACAAACAATGCATAAGGGTTCCAATTTTGCCACATCTTTGCCAACATTCGTAATTTTCTTTTTTGATAATTGCCATCCTAATGGATGTGAAGTGGTATTAATTTGCATTTTCTTAATGAGTAGTTATGTTGAGCATTTTTTGATGTGCTTATTGGCCATCTGTATATCCTTTTTGGAGAACTGCCTATTCAGGTCCTTTGCTAAATTTTTTTGTTTTTGTTTTTGAGATGATGGAGTTTCACTCTTGTTGTCCAGGCTGGAGTACAGTGGCGTGATCTTGGCTCATTGCAGCCTCTGCTTCCCAGGTTCAAGCCTGCCTCAGTCTCCTGAGAAGCTGGGATTACAGGCACCCACCACCATGCATAGCTAATTTTTTGTATTCTTAGTAGAGAAGGGTTTTGCTATGTTGGCTAGGCTGGTCTTGAACTCCTGGCCTCCGGTGATCTGCCTGCCTCAGTCTCCCAAAGTGCTAGGATTACAGGCATGAGCCACCACGCCCAGCCCCTTTGCTAATTTTTAATGGTTTTTTTGGTTGTTAAGTTGTAGGAGTGCTTTATATATTCTGAACACTAAACCCTTATCAGATATATGATTTGCAGATATTTTCTCCCATTCTCTCTGTTGCCTTTTCACTGCATCTTTTGATGCACAGAAGTTTGAAATTTTGATGTTCAGTTTGTCTATGTTTTCATTTGTTGCCTGTGCTTCTGGTGTCATATCCAAGAAATCATTGCCAAATATAATGTTGTGAAGCTTTCCCCTCATGTTTTCTTCTGAGAGTTTTATAGTAAGTAATCCTAAATGAAAAGGCTGAAGAATCAATTGCAAGTAGTTAAGCTAGACAAAGACCAGAACCAAAGTACATAATTCTGGGGGAGAAAAGGAATATTCACTATAAAGAAAGTAGAGAAATTTATTGCCACTTGAAAACTAAATATAACTCAGATAAATCAGCCAAAGAAATCATTGACATTACAATTAGTATTATTTGACCAGATTTGTCTTTTGAAGATTTCTCTGTTGACAGGCACTTCTGCAACAAATCTGTATAATTTGATATAAGTATTCATTATTCTTAAAGGCTAAGCAATGGGCATTTATGATGGCTCATCATAAATATACAATATTATATATTACATACTGTATGTTAATTGCATTTTTTCTTTGAGCTTATACAATGTTTTTAAAAAAGTCTACCTTTTATAAATATCAATTGGATATTCTTGTGTGTTGCATTTGCTAAATAAGTGTCAATAGTTAAGAATCTGTTTCTTTTATATATGCCAGATTGTCTCCATTCAGAATACAGAATCCCCTGCATAAAACTAACATGTTTTGCTGAAGTACTTGTTAATTTGGTTCTAAAATATTTTTTATATTCCTAATATATAGCATTTATTTTTAAAAGATTAATCCCTACACCCATTTCTGCAAAGCTCATTTGTAGCTCAAAAAATTACCATAAAGGGAAAGAAAACCCTCCAGCTCCCTACTACAAATACTTTAGAATTGGAGTGAGAAAACTTTTTCTGTAAAGGATCAAATAGTAAATACTTCTTTAGTTTCTGCAGGCCATACAAGCCCTGCTGCATCTATTTAACTCTGCAGTTGTAGTGCAAAACCAGTGTAGACAATAGTAAATGAATGGGCATGGCCATATTTGACTCATGGTTGTAGTTTGCCTACCCTTGCTTTAGAGCACCTCAATTAACACAGTTCATATAAAATATCCAGTAAGATAAACAATAATTTAGTGCTTAAAAGAGAGTAACAGAATCTTTTTCTTTTATAGTCTTTTAGGAAAACTATCATATATTGCTTGGAAGGTATTCTCTATTTTAAATATATCTATATAGTTTCATTCTTTTCTTACCCTGAGATATTTATTAAGAAAGGCTAATCTGGACTCTAGTACATAAAACATCTTTGGGTATATACATTATGTAAATAGGAAGTGATATTACTTCTAGCATTGTAAGAACCCCAGCTCCCAAATAATAATGACTCTTGAGTAATAAGCAAGTGCCTGTAGCATGCCTCCAACATATTGACTGTTAAAGAGCAATAAGTTCTCCCTGGCAGTGATTACAGCAATTGAAAGTTATATTTTCATATCTGGTATAGGGATGAAATCGTCCAATATTTTTCTTTGTAGCAAGTAAGGTGGTTGGTGAAGACTCAAAAAATGGATTATCAAGTGAGTTCTCTGTACAGGTAACTGGATCTAAAATTCGTAGAACCTAAGGAAAATAAGATATAATGTCAGGTGTATGCAGTATAGATGGCAAAAGCCTGTGATTTAACTGATGCATGCCTACCTATAAAGTTTCACTTCAGTAATATGTAACTATCATAAAAAAATCTGAATGATGAATATGATTGAAAAGAACTTATCTCCTTCCTTAAGCTCTAAATTTAACAATGATATTTAATTATTATCTAGGTTACCTATTTTTTTAAATGATGAAATTAATGTTTTATAGATATTGGTAGGAATGCATGAAAACAGAAGAAAATGAGGTTATATCATTGAGATGTCAGTTTTTTATATGTCAATTATATCATTAAGTGATGTCAATTTTTTTTTCCTTAACCAAAATGGACTTACTACTTCCCCTCTTAATCTTTCATTCAGCTGCTCAGAATCAGGATTTTGTTTTTATTTTTCTATAGAAATGATATTTCAAAGTCCTTGATCAGTTTTTATGTGTAGTATCAATGGCTTTTCATTTATCTTTTCTAATTTATATGCAATATTTTATGATTACAGCCATGTTTTTGTTTCTTGGGTCCCACAAGACAATGCTCTAATTCTTCATCTGCTCTGATTTTTCCTAATCTGTCTCCTTTACTGAGACCCAAAATAGGAACTCTTGAGCTGAAAAACATTCTCCAGTTAAGGGCAGGGATAACATGTCTGGCCCACAGCTCTTCATTCTCATGTCCATATTTTCCCAATCATCAACACATGATGTGTTTGGGTTATGGTACAAAGGTAGCAAGCACTGCCATTGGAAAGAATTGTGAAATGAATTGGGAAAAGTGCTTTCTCTCTTTCTTACATACGACTTGTTCAAAGCAGACTTCTGGAATGGCTAGTGATGCCTGTTTCCCTAGCATTCATGTTGTCTTGCAGATTTTTTTCTTTTCCTTCTAAGTTACCACCAAACCCAAAGAGCCATCGCTACTCTAAGAATGTCCTAGCATCATTTAAGAGCCATTACCTACTTTAGCACATCTATTTTTCAACTAGACTGCTTTTCCAATTTTTGAGATCCTTCTATTTTTATGGAAGTTGGTTTGGTGTTAGGGGATAAGCAAAGATGAAGGCCTACCTTAACGTTGCTTATAAATTTAGAAGAGAAAATAAGTTCCCAATTACTATAAAGATGTTATTACATTATGACTCTTTAGAGACATAAACAAATTGCTAAGGGAATTCAGGAGCAGGAAACTGACACACTAGTATGAACAGAAAGGCTTCTGTATTTTAGCCTGAAAGTGATGGGGAAGGATTTTAAGCAAGGTGCCTTTCAGAGAGATCATTCTCTACACAGTGTGGGGGATGGGGGAAGCAGTAGGTATAAGCAGACATAAGAACAGAAAAAGAGAGGTTATTATAATAATCTAGCTAAGAAATGATGGCACCTTGAAGCAATGGGACTGAAAATTTTAAGAGACACTAAGGAAGAAGGGCTGTCAGTTTTGTTAAATAGGAGAATGTGGTGGATAAAGGACTGGGAGAAGAAGGGGATCTAAATCACGCCCTTAGGATACCTAACATTTTATAGTGAAATAAAATGGTTGGATAAAAGAGAAAAGCCAGTCAGGTGTAAGGTTATATAAACTTAGGAAAGAGTATTTCTCTTTTTTTTTTTTTTTTTTTTTGAGAGTTCCTCCCACCTCAGCCCTCTGAGTAGCTGGGACT